CTCTCCCGGAAGCCACAAAAACAATGGCTGTCAGTTACTCAGTGCTCAGCCTGGATGAGGCACTATGCAAGTAGTGGAATAATTTCCAGCCTTCAGAACAACCTCATTGGGGTGCTGGGGAGCTGGATCCATTGGTGAAGAACTCACTGCACACACACAAGGACCTGGATTCGGATACCCACTGTCCACATTAAAAACAAAAAAAGCTAGGCATGTCAGCGTCTAGCCATGAGTGGTTGGAGCCAAGAGGATCCCTGAAGCTTGCTGGCTAGGTAGTCTTGGCAAATCAGTGAGCTCTAGGTCCAGTAAGAGACCCTATCTCAAAAAATTAGATGGAAGCCAGGCATGGTGGCACATACCTTTATCCTGGCACTCCAGAGGCAGGTGGATCTCTGTAAGTTCAAGGCCAGCCTGAGCTATCTAGTGAGACCCTGTCCGAAAACAAAACAAAGTGAACAAACAAATAAGGCAAAAAGTATGCTGTCCCAAGATTCTGCACTGCTACCAGAAGCCCTTCATGTCGGCTTCACAGAGACTAGTCTAATGGCATTAACCATCCCAGCTCTCCATGACACCATTAGGAGCTCCAGCCCAGCCACTGTGCCTCCTCCGCCTGATCTGGGCTCCAGGCTGTGGGCTGTGGGCTGGGAGAGTATCTGGTTGTTTACCAGGAATTTGGATCTTCTTCAGAGAAAAGCACAGATGACCTATTAGTCTAATTCAAGCACTTAGCAAGGAATGACTGCACCATTCACACCCCCAGGCCCAGGCTAATGGAGCCAAAGCAAATGGAGAGGCCTTGGCTGCTCAGAAATCTCCCCGGGAGCAGAGAAAGAAGGAAGGCGAGTAGACCCTGTGCCCCCACTGGAGTTTCCTGGGAGGTAGCTTGGCTGAGTATTTCCTGGGCTGGGCAGGCTCTGAGGATCAAGAATACGCAGGGAGAGGCTTGCCTATTCCACCCACCACTCTGACAGTGGTGTGTGTGTGTGTGTGTGTGTGTGTGTGTGTGTGTGTGTGTGTGTGTGTGTGCAGGAACACATGTCCACTCAGACCAGAGGATAACTTACAGGAGCTGGTTCTCAAATCCTACCAGGTGGGTCCCAGGGGTCAAGTTCAGGTCATCAGGCTTGCCAGGATGGATGCACCTTTGCCCAGTGAGCCATCTGCTCTTCAGAGGACTGGGGCTTGGTTCCCTCACATGGTAGCCCACAACTGCTTGAAACTCTAGTTCCAGGGAATCGGATGCCCTCCTCAACCTCAATGGGCACCAGGCACGCATGTGATGCACACACATACACGTAGGTAAAACACTCAGACGTATGAAATAAACTCTTAAGTAAAAAGACAAACGACAAAAACAGTGGCTGGGGACATAGTCCAGTGGCAGAGCACTTACCTAACGTGTGCAAGGCCCTCGGTTTCATCTTCATCATAACACACACACACACACACACACACACACACACACACACACACACCCATGCACGCACGCACGAACATGCACACACACATGCACGCACGCACGCACACACAGGCACATGCACGCATGTACAATCTTAAATCAGAGAAAAAACGGAAAATGCTCTGGTTTGAACCTGATTTATCTCCACAGGAAGTTTTGTTGGAGTTCAGTCCTCATTGTGAGGTATTCAGGAAGTGGAGGCTGTGCGTGGTTGGCACACGCCTTTAATCCCAGCGCTCGCTCGGGAGACAGAGGCAGGAGGAGCTCTGTGAGTTTGAGGCCAGTCTGATCTATATAATGAGTTCCAGGCCAGCCAGGGTTGCACAGTGAGACCCTGTCTCACCCACCCCCTCAAAAAAGAAATTGGAAACAATCCAACTTTGGTATTTAGAGGTGGGACCCTGAGAAGTGATCAGATAAGATTATCAAGGGAGTGCCTCCATGATTGAATACTGGTGGCAGAGAAAGAGAGAGAGAGAGAAAGAGAGAGAGAGAGAGAGAGAGAGAGAGAGAGAGAGAGAGAGAGAGAGAGAGATTCTGCCAGCCAAGCCATTACCAGAGACAGTCCCTTGATCTTAAATCAGAAGTAAACCAAATAAACCTCCTTTTAACAAAATGGAATCCCATAGTCTTCTTGGCTCTGCTTCCTGGTAGCTGGGATTACAGGTATGAGCCACCATAAAATCTCTTTTCTCTTATAATTTACCAGGTCTGTGATACTGTTATCAGCAATAAAAGATGAACTAAGTAGGGGCAGAAGGATCATCACACACACACACACACACACACACACACACACACACACACACACACCCCGAATTGAAGATCATCCTCTCATCTCCAACTACACATCGAGTTGGAGACAAACCTTAGCTACAGGAGACCCTGTCTCAAAAACCAAACAAACACATAGCTCATTGGGTAGAGGTGCTTGCACCAACCCTGACTACCTGAATTTGAACTCTGGGACCCACATGAAAGGTGAGAAGTGTCTGTGGTGATATATTATGTACCCTAATAAACTTTGCCTGAAGATCAGAGAACAGAACAAGCCACTAAACTAAACATAGAGGTCAGGCTGTGGTGGCACACACACCTTTAATCCTAGCACCAAGGAGGCAGAGATCCATCTGGATCTCTGTGAGTTCAAAGCCATCTGGACTACATGAGATAGATTCAGTCTAGGAGAGGAAACAGAGCCAGGCAGTGGTGGCACATGCCTTTAATCCCAGGAAGTGATGGCTGGGTGGAGAAAGGTATATAATGTGTGAGGAGACAGGAACTAAAGGCTTTTTGGCTGAGGAAGCTCATTTGGTTGAGGCTTTTTTGGCTGGAGCCTTTTGGATGAGGACTCAGAGGAATTCAGTCAGAGGATTCATGGAGTTAGCCAGGTGAGACATGGCAGTGGCTTGTTCCTCTGATCTTTCAGCATTTGTACCCCAATATCTGGCTTTTTTATTAAAAGATCTTTTAAGATTCGAGCAACAGGTGTCTCCTTCAAATTGTCCTCCGACCTCCACACACGCACCATAGCATGCCTATTTGCTCACACACGTAACAAAATTAAAAACACAACCAAATATCCACGAGTTCAGAGCTGGTTAAACAAGCTATGCATAAGAATGTACACCATACAAGACCACGTGTGCCGTGAGGAGGAGGCTCAGCTCAAGCTCCGTTCACAGATGCCGCGAGACGTTTGTGAATTACGCTTCGATGTGCAGCCCCACACACATCAACACATAACCCCAACTCTCGTGTTACAGACGTGCATGGAACATTCCGGAAGTTTGAGAGAGATGACTAACAGGTTCTCCTTCCTTCTTTAGAACTGTCTGTTTTGTCCAGACTGCTTCCTACAGTATACACCACAATTGCTCATTTTTACTATGTGCCGGAGACGATGCTTGACGTGATGTAGCTCATTCCTTGTGAGGTGCAGCCAATGCTTTGGCATGTTCCAGATGGGGTTAGTAAATCTCAGAGAGGCTCAGACCAAGGCTGCACAGCTCTTGACTGACAAAGCCAAAACTTGTTGAGAAAGTATCAGTTTCTTCTCTCATTGCTCTGGCAGAATACTTGACACCCAACTCGGGGAAGAAGAATTTCTTTTGGCTCAGTTTGAAGGGATGGAAATCCATGGGGCTAGTCAGAGCTTGTAGCCATGTTGGCAGGAGCATGAGGCTTGCTTCCATGGAAGCAGAGATGGAAAGGGTCTACCTTGAGGCCTGCTGTAGGGAGGTACTTCATCCCGTTAAGCCCCGCCTCTCAAAAGTTGGACAGGAAGCAAATGAGGTGAAAGAGTCCCATGAGCTTGAGGTCAACCTGGGCCACATGGCAAGGGACAGCCAGCACGTCGTGCTCCGGCAAGTCCCTGTTTCCCAGAAAGAAGGCTGGGGCAGAACACTGACAAATACCTAAGCGGGAGAGTTCTTGGCCTAGTGTAGCCCTGGGTTTGATTCCAAGCTTCACCATAAAAAGAAAGGAAGGGAGGGTGGGAGGGTCAGAGGGTAGGAGGGAGGGAGGAAGGAAGAAAGGAAAGAAGAGGGGAGGAAGGAAGGGAGGGAGGGAGGGAGGGAGGAAGGAAGGAAGGAAGGAAGGAAGGAAGGAAGGAAGGAAGGAAGGAAGGAAGGCAGGCATGGTGACCAGCACCTGTAACCCTGGCACTCAGGAGGTTGAGGCAGGAGGATCTGTAACTCCTGTTCCAGGGTGCTCCTTTCTGACCTCTGTAGTCACGCATGTGGTACACAACACTCACAAACATAAACTAAAAAATAACTCTAAGAAATAATTTTAAATTACAACAGAGGCTTAAATGAATCAATGTGTGTTCTTGAAGACAGTACCTATTAAACAGTATTTGGCATACGGGTTAAGCTCAATAAAGGCGGGTTGTTATAATGTTTTGCTGCATTTATCACCCTGTTCTTTTCTTGACTGTCTGCTCTTTGTCTCTACTCTGGCATGTGAAAGGACTGAGAACAGTGTCTGATCTCACTACCTCAGAAGCTCTTCCACCCACCACAGTGTCTTACGGATAGACAGTGTCTTACGGATAGCCTTTGAAAGAATGAATGAATGAATGAGTGAATGAATGAATGAGCAAATACAGCTCTATAAATACAGTCTTCCAACTCTGCTTGGGAAGATGTTTCCTTACTCCAGGAGGATTAAATTCGCTGAGAGCAAGAACAGCCTCTGCTTTCTGCTGGGCCTGTAATGATCTGGAACAGATCAGTGTCTCAGAGGGCTCAATAAATGCTGTGGCTGACTGAGGGCCTCAGCAGCAGTGGTAGAGTCTAGGCAGGATCCCAGAATCACCCCGAGTACCAAGGATGGGTACCACCTTGTATCATACTATTTTTCTTCCACCTCTGTGGCAAACGAGGCTGAGAGGTTTGTCTGATGCCACCCAGCAGTTAGCAGTAGGGCTCCTGTGTCTCCTCATCACCCTATCAGTGCCCCCGCGTACGAGACATACCACTAATCTTATATAAGCTTCCAATTTAAGAAAATGGATAAAGATCAGAGTTTCAGGTCAAAACGTTTAATCATGATCCAAGGGGCTGGGGACTTGGGGACAGTAGCAGGTGCTAAGCAAGACCCAAAGGCTTCAGCTCTTGATGCCCCAGTGTTCAGGATCGCAGGGCAGGGCAGTGTAGACCGCGGGCTCTCACCTTCCATTCAGAGGGGCTGAGGGGACGGGAACACAAGCCTTCCTCACAAAGGGAATGCCTTCCTCAGCTGCCTCGGAACCCTCAGCCCTGCCTTCCTGAAGAATGCAACAGGGGATGACTGATCGGTTAGGCTCTGGGAGGGCGATCCTGGGAAACAGGAAGAAGGGTGGGGGGTGGGGAAGCAAATCACCACCAGAATCTATGGCCAAACGGGGGTGACAAAGCCCTAAGGAGGGACGGCCGGAGACAGATGAAGGAAGGGGTAAGGGAGGTTTGAAAACCAGCCAGTCAGGATCCGAAGGTCACAGGCCCTGGCTTCTCCCAAGCCCTCCTCCGGAGCAGACAGGACGTGCCAGGTGGGATGCCTGCTGGAGTCCAGGGTTGCAGTGTTGCTCACTGCATCTTCTTCCAGACGCTGTCGTTTTCTCGCCCGAAACAGGCTGCAAGTCCCTGAGGAAGCCCAGCTACCAGAGGGGTTGAAGCAGAACCAAAGTAAGCACGAAGAAAGAAAGAACAGGCAGCCTGGGCTGGGGTCTCGGAGCCGGGCTATGGTTCTGCAGAAGAAACGGAATAGAGTCAGCCCAGAGGACATCTCCCTTTATCGCCTAAGCCTCAGTCCCGTAACCTTCCCCTTCCCGGGACCTGTGTGCATCACAGGTCTATATTGTTGATGGTATCTCTCCCACCTTGTCCCTTTGTCCGCCTGGCCTGCATTTCCTCCGACTGGTGCAGTCATAATCTTGACCTACATGACCGAGGAAGGTCCTACCTCCTGCATCACAGAAAAGGTCGAGCCGTCCCAGTCCTGGGAGAAGAGTTGTCTGTGGAAATGCATCTTAGCTGCAATGGCCTCCGCTAGGTACAGGAGAAAAAGGAGATTGGAGCAAGGTGCCAGGAAGTTTCTCTGACTCCCAAAGCAAGAAGGGGAATGCCATGGGTCCCAGGAATACAGTGGACAGGTGGGTAGGAAGCGGGAGGACATTCTGACTCATTCTGCTTGCTTGGTCAAGTTCATGGGGCCTAGGCAGGTTGAACAGGCAGCATGGAGGTCATTCTGGGAGTGGGGGGAGGGAGGAGTCGGGGGAGGGAGGACGGCTTTGTTGGAAGGCTAGAGGGTGAAGCCCAGAAGAGGGATGCTCTGACTAAAAGGATAGACAGGACCCAAAGAGTGGGCCACACAGCCGACCCTTCCTCTCTGTGCCAGTATGACCTGGCTCCAGGGGCTGGGTGTAAGAGGAACATACGCACTGAGGCAGGGGTTCTGGGAGAACGACCTTTCCAGCTGTTCGCACTCGTCCTGTAGGTTGCCACTGCCTCGGCAGGTGCAGCTTAAGGCAACACTGGCATTGACCTTGCTGATGAAGTTTGGGGTCATGGCAGTCCCTGGTGGGTGAAGAGAGGAAGGGGGGGTTGTCAGGGGCTAGACAAGTTCCAACTCCGGCCTCCATTTCCTCCCGCCTGTCTCAGGACCTCAGCACCATGCTGGGTGCTGTCTCCAGGGCACTTACACCTCAGAGCTGACCGCACTAAGGATTCCTACACATGCCCCAGCCTCACCAATCAGCCCCATGTACGCCCGCAGACATCTGGACTGCTCAGTTGTACAAGTCCCCAGGATGTCCATAGGATGGCAGTGGGTCTGGAAGTCCATTAGGCGTGATCTGGAAGAAAGGAAGTTTCCAGGGTCCCCACTGAGGATCCGAGTTGTGGAAGTTTCCAGGGTCCCCACTGAGGATCCGAGTTGTGGAATACTATTTAACTATGTAAAGGCGTGTTACCTTTGTTCACGCGGTGGAATATGACTTTAACTGTGTAAAGGCATGTTACTTTTGTTTATGCTGCATTTGTTTGATTATGTAAAGATGTGCTGCGTTTGTTTCGCCTTGCCTGCCTAAAAAAGAAAGAGCCGAAGAGCCGATAGCCAGGCAGTAGAGAGACAGGCGGGGCTGGTGGGCAGAGAGAAGGAAGAGAGAGAAGGGGGAAGAAAGAAGAGACTGAGGAGAAAAAGAGGGACATGCCCGGGGCCAGAAGCCAGACAGATAGACACAAGAAGCAGTGGAAGCAAGAGATACAGAAGAAAAGTAAAAAGCAAAAGGCAGACAAAGAGAAACAGGTTAATTTAAGTTAAAGAGAAAAAAAAAAAGCTAGCCAGAAACGAGCCTAAGCTAGGCCGAGCATTCAAAACTAACAGTAAGTCTCTGTGTCATGATTTGGGAGCTGGTTGGTGGCCCAAAAGAAAAAGCCTGGTACAGATCTGGACTTGACCCTCACTGCCCTCCAGCTGCCCACGCCTGCCCTCATGCCCCCTCCCCTTCTGCCTTCAGGACTACCTCCATCACAATTCAGTTACCTCTCCCAGAGCCCCACAGCCCATCACTATGAATATGCACTCCATAGTCCCTAGTCACATGATCAGTTACAGCTTCCTTCAAGTTTCCTTGACCGTAAAACAGAGAGGACAAGGGGGCTGGAGAGATGGCTCAGAGGTTAAGAGCACCGACTGCTCTTCAAGAGGTCCTGAGTTCAATTCCCAGCACCCACATGGTGGCTCACAACCATCTGTAATGAGATCTGGCAACCTCTTCTATGTACATAATAAATAAAT